CTACAAACCACATTTAAAACTAATAAACTCTAAAATTCTATGAAGACAGCAGTAGTATCCAGACAGAAGACAGTTAACCGAAAGTCCTGGAATAAATACTTCTATGGCCAGTATTGGATATTCATAAGGGTTAGTTAGCATCAACTATATTTGAACAGAAACAGAATTTTATAACCACAGCAGTAAAAACAATTTAATCAAGATTTAAATTACAATATGAAGGAAGAGGAAATTAACCCTTTAATTATGGTGTAACTGTATGTTACAGAGGATTTAAATAGCATTAAAAATACATTTTGGTGGCATAGTATCTGATGAGCAGATTGCATCCCTTGTCTATTAATATAACATGCGAAGATCATCAAAATAACTTATAAACTTAAACTTAAATTATATTTCTAAATTTAAAATCAATCCAAAACAATGTATTATGAAGTATCCCCAGATGACTCTTCATAAAAAGTACCGAATGTATCCAGACTGAAATATATAAATTGTTAGGATGTCTGTTTCACTATGTGAATATCACATTTTTTTTGTTTTGTTTTGGTAGCACTAGTAAATTTGTTTCTGTTTTAGAATGAATTATTTATCATTTTAAACTAACAGATAAGAGCAAATATTTCTCTAATCCATTTAATTTGTTAAATAGTTAAAATATTGTTATATTTTAAATATATAGAAAACAAAATCTATGAATATTAATAAAAATAAGGATTTTTGATGGAATCAGCTGAAGCTTAGTGAAGCTGAAAAATTAAGTCAGCTCTGAAATCAGAGAGTCAGGGAGAACTGCAGTTCTTGCTTTTGCCATTAAACAGCGATACATAGTCTAAAACCATAGCAGATTTTTTTCAATGCTACCATAATCCTTCCTAAGATTAACATTTTTATTAGTATAGAAGCAAAAGAATCTTGTATCACAGACATTTATTACTTTTATTAAAGGTAAAGGGTCTTTCATCACTTTAAAAAGTAACATATCTGACATGGACATCTCAAGTTATTTATCTGCTATATACTTTATGTATTGAAATGCTGCAAGTTATAGAATAAAATTTCAATAATTTCAGAGGAGGCGATAAAAACAATGCTCTAGTATCAGGATCTTATCATTTATAGTCTTATAGTTTTAAATTAGGGAGCAGATTTAAAGCAGATGGCTTTAAATTCCAGAGAGAAACAGTAAGTAGGCAATACCTATTTTAAGTAAGCAATATTTTTTCTTATCAAAACCTATGAATCCTGGAAGAAGACTGTCACTGAATCATATTAGTTATGTAGGTGAATCTATTTGTATATATTCTCTCCCTCTCTCTGTCCCTTCCTCCTTCCATCCATCTACTGAAAAGTTCTAAGAAATGTTTCCAAATTTTGGTTTACTTTAAGGTATAAGGTATACCTTAAACTATAATATGTTATTATATTTCTGCAGTTAGATTTTTGAACAGGACCAGAGATACCTCATTTTAATATTACTTGATTTTTGTAGGGCAAAGACTATGTAAAATTTTCACAGAGATGTAGATGATATTTGAATGATACATCCGAGAGTAATATTCCAATGTTGGCAAAATCTGGACAATGGAATGAGGTAGGACAGGACAAATATATAAAATATATTAAACAGTGTAATGTGGTAGTTAAGGTGTTGGATTAGGAGCACTGAGACATAGGCCATCCTGAGCCATGGAAACTCATTGGGTAATTTGAGGTCATTCAGTCTCATTCTCAACTCAATCTTCTTCATAGGATTATTATAATTAGGATAAATAAAGGGTTATTTCCATGTACAGTATGTAATTCTAAACTCCCAGAGAAAATGCACCACCAACAAAAAACAGCAATAGGTTACAAACCAGACAGACCCCAAATGGATACTCAGCTTTAAGATTTGACTCAAATACAAAATACTCAGTAAAACCTGCATATTGGTTTCATCAGTCAACATTGTTTATGTTAAAATGTATTATTCAAACTATTATAACTAGGTAATATCTGTTTCACACATAACTACAGTTTTACTTATAATCATCATCTATAAATATTTTCATTTCTTATTTTTCCATTTTCTCTTTTCCTCTCCTCAACAACCTGTCATGCATGATCCCTCCAAAGCTTCAGATATAATAAACTCATTATTATTTATAATGATATGAAGTTACTGGTTACAGCTTGCTAGTACATCTAACACTTTGTAAATTATTTTTTCTTTCTGAATGAATAAATAAATATATAAGGGTAACCAATTTTCAAAAAAAGTCACATTCAGCAATTTTGCTTTGGTCTACTATTAGAAAATTAATATACTTTCCAATTATTGTTTGCATTTTAAGGATATAATTCTGAAAAGTTTTGTTGATGATTGTATTGCCACAATGTCATTAGTACTGTGCTTCATCTATAAATAATACACAGCTGCAACTTATTTTCTAAGAATTCTTCTATAAAAATATTATAGCAGAGTATAAGTGTCATAAAGTAGATAGACTTTTATTTATCCATGTTATCAAGGTGATTTAATTATGAATATGAATGACCAAATATGTAATTGCAATTTTAATTTCAGCTAATGGTTTTGCACTAGACAATTGGAAACAAGAAGAGATAATAAACTATATATCCATATTTAGAAAAAAATAACTTCAAAAGTCTACTTTCATCAATAAAACAAATATTAATATTGCCATTTCTAAAATATGCAACGAAGTTCAGCCCCATGTATCTTTACAAGAATTCAAAATGCATTTCTTGCTTATAATAAAACTGCTCATACAGGTTCAAAGTGGACCACAACAGCTTAAGGTTAACATACACTTTAAATAATTATTGCTAATGTTTAATAGCAGAGTACTTTGGTATTCAGTGCAAGAAAGGTGGAAAATGATAAAAAATGTACAATGCATTCTTTGCTCCATTTCCAATTGCACTATAGGTCTTCTAGGCAACTCTCTCTTTGCAAGTGTTTGGGAAATAGAGTGAACTGCTGTTTCATCTATAGAAACTGCCCATATAGCTTTTATAACCCTAAACAATAAACTTAAACCAGAATGTTATTGTTCTAAAACTGTTACTTTTCTCCACTAACATATTTCTTACCAAAAGGCTGTTTCTGCATAACCATTCATTACATCTTTTATCCACAAAAAAATCACCCATGCAGGCACATTACATATTTTGGGATTGAAGTCTAAAATTACCTAGTTGTTTCAGATAATTTGCTTTAACACAAAATCCCTCTTCTGAAATTTGCTCTTCTGTAGCACCTTTTTATCCATAATGCTGAACTTTTGGGGTACTGTACTTGCCTTGTAAAAGACATCTACTTCCAATGTAAGATAGTGTATGGAATTTCTAAGAATGATGCTACATAAGCAGGTGCACAATAAAAAGAATAATGCTGTGGTGCAAATGCAACATTTAAATGCAACATTTAAATCACTAAATATAACAACTGATAAAATAGCACATACTATCATCATTTTTGTTACAATAATCCAAAATCAGTGTCTCATATCAACTAGTTAACTTCAATATTATAATCATTTTAAATCTTAACGATGAACAAGTTTGCCTTTGAAGAAAATTGATACACTCTATAGAGAGGTCAAAGAAGTCTTTTAGTGTGCTTCTCCTTTCATAACACTGCAAGTGAGTCTACTATGATCATCAAATGCTTTTACATTATAAGTTTAGACTCAAAATGCAGGGTGCATAATCCCCACTGTACTTAGAGTAACCTATCAGGCATATCTCTCATACCAACTTCTGCACTGAAACTCTATTTAAATAGTTAAAGTTTTCTATACCAACCATAATATCACATAGTATATAGAAAATTGTACTTGAATAATCTTTCTTGTGAGGAACCTAAGTATCTCTGCCAATTTTTAATTAAGCTTTAGTTTTCTATAATACATCACATTTTAACCTGGGAAAATATATGAGAAGGAAAAATATACAAGTAATAAACCAAAGTGATGTACAATAAATTCTCAGTTATAAAGCATGAATGAGTTTCAATTACTTCAGGTTAAAACTGAAGCCTGATAGGTTACTCTAAGTACAGTGGGGATTATGCACCCTGCATTTTGAGTCTAAACTTATAATGTAAAATGCTACCTTACACATAAATAATACTGATGCAATTCATGTCATGTCCTATCAATGTGATTTTGACTTCCTTCTGAATAAACATATTTATGCAAAGGCTAAGAAAATGTTCTCTGCATGTTGCCATATGACATACAGATACTATGATTTACTCTGAAGTCCTATGCACAGTGAGTCTAATTGAGTTCTATGAGTTTATTTTATTGTTTATTTTATTTTTGCTAAGTGTGTTTAAACCAAACTAGTACTTTGATGGGAGACCACCAGGAACGCACAAGGCTGTAGGCAGAGAAATATTGTGGAAGAGAGGAATGGAAAACCATTTGCTTATTGTGTGGATAAGAAAAATTAGAGAGATATAGTCATCAAATGTTTAGTTTGTGTCAAGGAAAACTTTACCTTTATTATTTTTCATATAAACTAAATAGGTTTGACCTTATTTATTTAACCCTAACCCCTTACACTATAAATTCACATGAAGCATGTGAGAACAAAATATGGATTGCAAAATGCTTTGTTCAAACCCAACATTATCATTTAAAAATGAATATTATCTGTCTATTGTAGAAAGCTGAATATCCTCCAAATCCTATAGTTGTCAAAATAATCAAAGTAAAGCAAGAGAGAAAAGGAAAGGAAACTCCTCTTAACAAATATCAAATTCATTTTAAGGAGATAAAGCAACACTCGCTGTATGCCATAGGTGCTATATATTTTTTATATAGGCACATATGAAAATTGTATAGCAATCAATGGAGCTTACTTCAAGTATGTGTACATAGTACTGTGAATTAATTACCTTTCAATAAAGTTAACAGCACTAACAAACAAGAGTCAGAATCTTAAAATGCATGCTAGAATTTTGCATTCATTTTGGCTACACAAACCTGCAGTGGTCTGTGTATTAACATTTAACAACCAGTCTGCAGTGTTGAGCAGAGTCATGTCACCTAAAGGAAAATTGCAAAGAAAATAAAATGCTAGTAGCTTTTCCATATATGTCACAGAATCACATCTATATAATATCCATCAGAAAAGTTTTACTTCTTTTAAATTGGTATGGCATGTTAAGCTCTGTTTCTTCTCTCAATCACTTGGAATTGTTGCATTAAAATAATTATAACTTAACATCCTGATAGGTTTAGAAAGAAACCCCCTTGTGGATTTCATTAATTAAAGTTGTTAACTCCAGAATATAATAGTTATCATCATACTTATACTTGCAGCATATACAGTACATGCAAATCCGAAAGATTTTTTAAAGTAGCACCCCATCTCCCATTTAATTTTTAATTAAAACAGAGAGCAAAGATGATTGGGAGACGGGGAATGACAATGGTCAGTGGAGGGGTATCTCTCACTTAAAGGAATGCAGTATATGTACAAGTGAAACAAAACCTTTTTTCTTTTAGTGTATAAAAAGAAAAATACTAAGTTAATATACTAAACTTTCTTATAAAAAAGTTAAATTTTTCTATTACCTTTTTCACATATTTCAAAGGAAATTGTTAATTTGTTCTACACAGCATATTGTATGTATAGTTTCCCTAAAATATTGCCGTGCTAAGATCCTTATTCAATGCATATTGGAAAGCTAACAAGCCCTTTGCATTTGCATCTCCTATGGCACCATGTGTTTATGCATTCTAACCTATTAAATTACAATTTTGCACATTTTCATATTAAATTATCTTTTTAAAATATATACGTAAACTGAGATAGCAACAGAGTAGTCTGGATTATTTTCTTTATATATCACAATATTTCATTTAAGTGGCAAATTAACCATGTAAATGAATGTGCAAGATAAAAAAAATGTTGAAAAGTTACCAACAGCAAGCTTCAAACATCTATAAACTACTAACTAATTATAACTGGTCTCTAGCACCACCTTATATTCATTAAAAATGTACACAGTAGCAAAATTTATCTAGTTAAGCATTCTCTACTAGAGATGTCTGGTTTCCAAGATGCTAAACCTGAAAGTCATGATAGTAACTTTCAGATGCCAAAACAAAGCTGCTGCTTAAAATCAGCAAACAAACAGCTAGGTGAAAAAGTTGGTTATCCCTAGCCTTTATGCAGACAATTGGAGAAGGATTCCAGCATACGTTCACCACTTTCATTCAAATAGTAAAGCCCAAATGTAATGGGTAAGGCCTAATATAAAATTTCATATTAAGTTTACAAAGTATATATTGATATGTGTGTGTGTGTGTGTGTGTGTGTGTGTGTGTGTATCAATCAATCAATCATAGGCAACATACACAATCAGGAACTAACCTTCTGTGCCATTCGGTGTCATGGAATTATTATTTAGGTGAGAATTATCAAGTTTTGGACCATTAGGAGACTCACTGCCAGCACTCAGACGGCTATGTGGGCTGGCTAAATCCTGCATTTCCATAGGCCTAAAAAAAGAAATAATTTAACTTAGAAACACAATTCAAGACTTTTCACATACTATAGCTACAATTAATTTTTCTACCTCAAATACATAATCATTTCTATAAGTGCAAATCTACATATATTTATAGCTTTGGAAAGTCTGTAAGAAATAAAATCCAATGGATCGTATTCTCAGGTAAAGAGTTTTGCACCTTTCCATACACAATGCATTAATGTCTAATGAGAACTTTAACATAGCAAAAACAAGTTTCCTCTTATAATATATCCATTATTTGTATAAATTATGTGTCAGAGGCAATAACAGTACATTAAAAGGTGAGTACCCAAAGCAATACATTAACACTGCTTGCTTGCATATAATTTACCAACCAATTACAATTTAATGGGCCTCCAAACCAAAGAAAACACTTGAAGCAATAGTTGAACCTAGTCTACTGACAAGGAATGAGATATTCCTGATGTATGTGTTTACTTTAGCAAACTACTTAATTGTTCCTCTGTTTCCATTGAAACAAATGCAGCATTAAAATATTATTATGTCTGTTCTCATGTTTGCTTTGTGGATTACATAGAGTGTGCCCCACTGAAAAGGGATAAGACCAATGCACAATGAATGGTTTTAGCATTAATATATCTTAGCACTTTGCGGTATTGTCATTTAAATAACATAAAAATTGAGCTAAATAAAAATTTGCTAATGTTTTGTCCTTTAACTATGCTTTAGTTTAAATGCAAGCATTCTTACACATATCAGTTTTTATAATAAATTTCCATTTGTGGTTTTAAAAACATAATCATATAATATATATAAGATTAAGTTAAGGCAATAGTCAAAACATATATTCTGAAATAAAAATGATTTTGAATAAAAATAGTTTTAGAATAGTTTATTCCTTTTTCCAATATGAAACATCATTGGAATCAATTGTAGACTTTCCAAAATGCTAATAAAACTGGTTTGGATTTTCAATTTTGTTTGAAGAGGGTTTTTTGTAAAATGCTATCTGAAATTATACTTACAGGTAGATAAAGTTCAATAGTGCAACTGAACTGAATCTTTCCAGACTTACCTCATATTCTGTCAAACCCATGCAAACAATCATATTTTTCAAAATTTATTCTGATGTATTTAGTTTTCAATATTGTAATTGCTTTCTTGTAATAAATTCTTTTGACAATGGCACTGTTTATCAAATTCATATTTAAAAATGCACTAATTTTCCAACTTATATACAAGGCTCTGTGCTACTGTGATTTAAACATTCCAACCAGCAGAACATTTTTTAAAATTCAGATAAGTATTTTTTGGAAATAATCATTTCAGAATATTTAAAGCATTTTCCAAAGATAACATTTCTCCAGTTAAAATTTAGAAAAAAAGCTCATTCGTATATTTGTCACTTGAAGTAAACAACACAACTTCATTCTAAGCTTTTCTTTCCATAGAGAAGTGACTTTCACTTTAACCTTACCTGGGAAAGGATGAAACAGCAACATCTGAACTGACTTGGGCTTTTTACACCTGCAAACCAGGGACACAAACAGAAACCTATGTTATCCTATGTTCATGTCAGGTCTTAATCTAACTAAACAAAGAAATCTTCCTGGGGATCGTAATGCTGTTTTTTAGCCTAAAGAGGAGGGGGACAGCACTTCGGTGAAAGACATATTGTCTTTAAATTGAAGCCTCAACTGTTGTTTCCTCCAGCAAGACTATCCCCCTCCTGCCCATGTCATGAGGAAGGCAGCCAAATGACGGGATAGTGATTCATCACTTGTCTATGACAGCTGCACACTGCATTACCCCTCCCCCAATCAACATGTAAAGCTGTCTTCCTAGAGTAGTTTAGGAAGAAGTGCCTAGGTAAGGAAGCTATTAACAGAGCAAGCAATTTTAAGGGAAAACGCTCTAACACTCCTACAGCCTCTAAAGATCTATCAGCCAGCTTTTATTATCACTAGCTGAAATATATCTCCCTCCCACTCTTTAACTCTTTACAGTCTTTTATGCCTAGCAGGTTAATTTTTATCTTTTCACACAATTTATGTTTTAAAGTTCAGATGCCAGAAAGTTTTAAAAGATTTCAAGTCAGTGCTAAGCATGTAAAATGCAGCTAAATTATATTTCTATAAATCATCTGTAAAGTTTCTTCATATCTAACTGGGCCAGAGATTCTATAGCCTTCCGATCTGTGCCCTCCTCCTCCAATTAAGCTAAAAATAACCATACATGCCTCAGAAAAAAGGAACTTTATGGAGTCTTTTAAAATATGAATCCCACATATAAAAATGGTATTGCTAAATAAACTACTTTATGTTCTAAATGAGTATCATCCGTCAAGACAATTAATTTTTTTCAAAAATATCAGAATCTTTTCAAACTTCTATAATGTAAGACTAGCTTTTAAATTTGGAAATAACCTGTAAATAATCTGTGTTTAAGAGCAGACTTGATAGAAAATTTGTTTCTAAAGAACAGGTGATATATCTCAGGTGAAGATCCGCTGCTAGCCTGAAAGTACAAACAAAACTTCTCCAACTATGGCATATATTATTTTTTTAAAAATCTGAATCTAGAATTTCACCCAACCTTAACTGATATTTCCTAGATGATCACAGAACAAAGACAAGAGAGATGAGGCATTTTAAGTGCCATAAAAGTCATCTAAGCAAATCTCACTTATGTGTTTGTAGTTTTTGTTATTTTTAATCTTAGACAGAATTACAACTTTAGAAACTCCTATAAGCAGCCAGACAACATATAATGTTATACTTAAGGGCAAAAAGCATGCTGTTACAGAGCTAGAACTACAATATTTTTCTTGTGCTGTTTTAAAATGCCGCATAGTGTATTTTTAAGAGACCATAAAAAGCTAATTCAAAGTATCAAGTGTGTGTTTGCAACAGCTAAACCTTCTTTCAAGATTTTTTATCAAGATTTTTTTTTTAAAAGACCTGTTAAATGGAAACTTTTTACTCTAACACTCAAAATTGCGCTGTAATGCCTTTAGGATATGTTCTCTTATGCTTCTTGAGTACACTTTGAATAAATTATAGGTGGGAAAGTAACATACTTAAAACTATCTGTTCTTAAGAATACAGATATTTTAGTATTTTAAATTAACTGCTATAATATATATTTTATATTATTTGTATAATATTTAATATATAGAATATAATGTGCTAATCATGTACAATAATATGAATGTGTCTTTTGTAAGCTAGAATTACATATGATACCATATATAATACAAATATTTGCATAATTTTCATTATAAAAGCTGTGAGAGTTAATTTGCAAGATCTTCATACTTCAGTTGCAATCCTTTGCCTATGAAGGATTATTTAAGGCATGTGTTATACATTATGCCATTTAAAAATAATTCTTTAATCAAAATAACTTTAAAACTACTAATCTCCTATTAGATTGGTCAAATGAATCCACATAGTGGTACAGGAAAAATAAATCTACTCTCAAGAATGCAAATGCAAGCAACAATTAAACACAGATGTTGGTGACATTATTATAATTTACAAAATACTATACTTCATATGTTTTTGGAGGACTATGGGAGATGCAAAATTACTCTGTAGTGAGTAATTGCAGTATGACCAATTTGTAGAGAACATGTGGATGAATGACACTTATTAGTACTTTAATTAATACACATTTACTAGCTTAAAATTGTACTCAGAAATTGTAGGTGTTCAAAATCATGGTTGTACTAGTCAAATCATTCCATAGATCAAAAGCTTGCAGCAATAATTAGAATCAACTAAAGAATCGCTGCACTAAAATGGAAGATAGTGCAATATGCAATATTATTGCAATATGCAAAAATTTCATTGTGAAATCAGACCAACAAGTTTTGAAAAAGCAAAATCTGGAACTTCTTTGTCATATAAGTAATCACTACATGATCATGATTCAAGAACTGAATATAAGTTAATAAAATGCAAAATTGCTTTTTAATTGTTCCTAAAAATATGATGAAATTTTTAACTTCATTTAGTAAAATTACAATGACATTTAGAATAGTGATAATAGACTTATGTAGCTCTGTAAAGTTTATTTGTGAGCAGGCCTGCATAAAAGTGCACTGTTAAATATCTTCACAAATAATACCAAATTGTGACCAACTTATAAAATCTTTTCAGTTGGTCTTTTTTTCTAATTAACTTCATAATTCTTCACAGATGTAGGTTTTGTTGATATTCAATTTGTCTCTCTCATTTTGTTAAACCTCACATAGTACTCCAACAATCCAATGAATAGCCACATTAAATCTGTTAATACCATGCTCTTCAACCCCAGAAATTATTTCCAGAAGGCAAACTTGCTTTAAGAGTTCATCAAACAGAACTTAAGGTACACATTTTATCACATTTTCCCTACCACAGAGCTCAAGATGCAGAAGAAAATTCATGACTTTTGCACTGTTTATTATAGTTTGGTAAATTACAAATCAAAAGCATCTGACAGAAAATCATGTATGAAGCCAGAAACTTAATAATGTTCCGTGAAAAGTAAACTGTAAATGGGAAGGGTTTCTAAATCTCAGCAGCACAGAGCAAGTAAAGTGAAGATACTTGTCTAAATGATTGGTTTTCCAGACTTTTTAAAAATTGCTAGAAGCAATCCTTATAAAAAGGAATTTATAATTTAAAACATTTCTTCTAACCAAAAGGAATTTCTTTGAAGTAAAAATACTCTATAGTTCATATTTGAATTAATAAATTATATTCAGCCAGTTATAATTTAAACCCCCAAAGAGTTCTTTAGTTACTTTTTTCAAACAACCCCCTTTTTTTTTAAAAAAAAAAGTTGACTTACAAGAGTCACAAATGTTGCCAGTCTCAAACATGGAGTTAGTTAAAAGTTACTTTACAATGCATGTATCAAAAGTGCTCGAATTATTAAAACTGATTTTAAATAGCATTGTATCTTCACTCAACTGTTATTGGCATTACTAATGAAATATATTGACATATGACTCAAATATAAAACTGAAGACTAGATCTTCTGAAATAGACATGGAAGTCAAAATAAAATATTTTGATTTGTACAGAATGGACCTTTCTTTTGATAAATATATATATGATCTCTGCTCTTGAATCAGGGATCTTTTTTAAATTCTATGAATAATCCCAAAAACATCAAACAAGACATTCCTCCATTTTTCTGTACCACCTGAAATCATGTATTTCCCAACTGTATTTATGAAAAATGAAATAATGGCTTGTTTTCTAAACCTGTCATTGTGCAGGGATTCCTAAGACTGATCATTTTAAGGGAGTACTGCAACTCAAATAATACCAAGATTTGATAATACATATTTTGTTATAAACAAACATTGGGACAGGAAGACCTGGAGGAACGTTGTCCATGGGGTCGCGATGGGTCAACATGACTTCGCAACTAACAACAACAAAACATTGGGACATGGATTAACATAAACTATAATTCCTTCAGAAAAATAGGAAAAAAACTGAGCAGTGTTAAGATGCATACTATAGAGTATGTTTTCAAGAAAAATACAAATATAAATAAAATATTCTAATTTCTAAAAAGCTATTCTTAAAATTGATCAATTTTTCTTTTGCAGAAAAATATATTTAATTGGTTTAAATAGTGAAACTGTGAATTCAGATTTTATCATTTTCTTGTAAAGTGCACTTAAATTTGTTATCTGAAGCTAATTTAACATGATTATGGTTTGGGTATTTTAAACATGTAGTGGCATTTATAAAATAGGTCAAAATGAAACTTACACTTTTTTATGAATGATGAAAGTCAGAAGCTTCATGTAAATACAGTAATGCATTAATGCTATTTACTCGTAAGCATTTAGTTTTCAGAAATACCAAAATTTTACATTATACTTATGTCAGGTAGCTTGATAAAGTCCTCCTTTAATGCTCAGCAATTTTTCCAGGATTTCCTCCTTCAGAGTAAGCTGTCAAGATTTCTGCCACACATCCTTCCTCCAAATTTATTTTCTTTCCTTCTGAATTGTCTTTCACCAATTCAAGGATCTTTTTTAAATCACTCATCACTGGGTTATTTATTTTCAGTGACCCGCGAACACTTGAGAAAACTAAACAGTCATATCAAGCAAATTTAACACAATAAATACTTTAGAAGCACAGAACATCTGACTTGAAAGACGTCTACATAAAGCTGAGCCAAAATATACTGAAAAAAATGTGACGTATATTAGGTATTAATAGGAACGGGGGGAAAGAAATGTGCATATGGTACCTCGGTGGCGGATCACTTAGTTGCTTGGAAAACTTGTTTTTGCAACATAGGACATTCTTGCGGGTGACTTCCTTATAAAGCTTCAGTCGGGCCCAAAAAAAGTGTGTGTGGGGGGGCTTTTCTCACCGCTTTACAAGAAGGGAGAGTTGTTGTCAAATCCATGCAGTTTTCGAAACAGACAGGTTTGTACTTACAGCGAACGGCTTTGCAGCATCCACCAGGATTAGGTACTGCTTCACGTGAACCAACCAGTGTTGCTCACATCGTTTTATTCTTAAAAGCTCAACAGACTGTCTTGGTTGAAAAACAACAAAACAAACCAGTAACCCCCGACCCACTCCAAGCGCAGCCTAGAAGCGCCGCTCGCTCTGGAGGACAATTTCGCGTTTAGGGCGAGGAGCTGGTGAGGGTGACTTCTGCTGCTGTTGTTGCTGCCGCCGCGGGCTGTGCTTGCCAAGCGTCTGTGTGAGGCAAAGGACAGAGGGAGAGAGGGAGGCGGCGGCGGGAGGGGCGGGGTGGGGGAGCCTTTGGGTCTCCAGAGCGAAATTGAAAACAGCCAACGAGGACTTTCCCAGGAAGGCTTAAAGTCGGAAGTGGCACTGAGGGGTCCGTCTGCGGCAGCACCCAGTTCCCAAATCGGCGCGCGCCTAAGTTCCCGCTCAAATCCTCTCTCAGCAAACCAAGGCGCTCGCTCGCTCGCTCTTCGGCTGTCAGCAAACGCGGCCGGAGAGACGGTCGCTGAAGAACAGACAAAGGAACAAGCCGAAGTCTCGTCGCGCTCGCTTGTTGCTTCTATGTTGGCCCAGGCTTGGAGGTCTGCCCCAATCTAGCCCGAAGGCTTTTCCGCCTTCTTCTCCCCCCCCCCACACACAACACACCCCTCCTGCGACTCGTCCCCTTTTGTTTATTCCTAATGCAAACCACAGCTAGTCTCTTGCCCTTATTGGTTTGAAAATGCGAACAATCGAAGTTAGCCTTGGGCTGACTCGTCGGAGGCCACCTTTGCTGGCAAGCAATTTTGGTATGCAAATGAAGGATCCTGAGGCATGTGCATAAACAGCTGTGGAGGGGTGGGTGGGAGAGAAGCAGCTGAGCGCGCCCTGTCAAGAAGCGGGCCGGCGGGCTGGCTTTCTGCTGCGGAGGCACCGGCAGTACCGAGCCACGTAGAGCTTCGCAGAGTAGGCGGCACGGAAAGCCTCCTTTGCACCTTCCAAGCGGGCTAGCCCGGCAGCGGACTCCTTAGCCGAGAGCAGAGCTGGGGGATGGGAGAGATGTGGATGGACTTAAAGCCTTGGCCCGATCCTCAAAGCAGGCGGCCAGAACGGCGTTCACGGCACTCTGGAGATCTGCTTAAGTACCGCTAAAGAGGGCGATCCAGCATTACGAGCAGGCAACTCTTGCGTCGCCACTTTTTTGGATGTGTATCGGATTGGTTCCTGGTTGTTCCTTAAAGAGGCAAAAATACGAAAGAGAACAAGAAGGCTAAACGCTAAACCCCTAGCCCGTGCCAACCTCCAGCAATTTGTCAGAATAACCACCAAACTTTCAACTGTTAATAATGCAGGGGTAAAAACGATGGTGGGCAAAATGTATTATTTAAATACACTCCTACTTGGATTCAATGTTTATTTTTTGGAGAGGGCGGGAGTAATTCTGCATTATCCTTATTTCTAGCCATGTTTTGCACAATGACTTTGTTTATATAGTTGCGTTTGCGTATGTTAAACATTAACATTGAATGTGAATACTTTAGGAACAATTTTTAAAGCTAATTCTTAGATAAGACAATTATCTAAAATCCAGTTAGCTAATATATGTTGTTTTGAGCTATTTTAACCAATCTCAGAATACAGACCCATTTCTAAATTAATTCTGGTCCAATTCCAATACAAACAATGTACTATCAAAGAGAAAAAGATTGTTAAATCATGTTAAAATACCTGTAAAAACTGTTTCTGAATGAAGGTTATAGTTTTGCCTGAATGTATTGTTACAAGAAGTAATATGAGTACCCACTTGAATACTGGAATATTGTACAAAGTTAGCTTCAAATTATGTTTGTTATAAATAAAAGCGTATAACCTCAACATACTTTACAAAAATATTGTGCAATATCCAGTTTACATATTTTCAGAAAAAAATACATTGGGTAAGCTTTCCACTAGGCAAGGGAATTGTGCCATGACAACCTTGAGCAGAACTCTGGTTGCTTAGTGAAGGCAAAAAAATAATGATAGACACCTTCCATATATGGAAGGTTAAGGTTAAAATCCACATATGTCTGTTAGGTCTGCTTCTGTAGCATGGCACATATATTCATAGATATCCCCTCTTTTAATTCTTAAATATGTTCAAAGTGGAATTTGTAATGTTATATTAAATTGCATTGGCAATAAATTCATATGCAATATTTCAATACTTTACTGAGGTAAAATACTTTTAGGATGACAGAGAATGCTCTTTATTTTGGGAGTTCTTTTCATAAGTAATTTATTTAACTAATTTGTAGTAATATATACAATCATGTCCTATTCCTCAAGTATATGATTAATACAAAACTTCCTTGGAAAAAGTGGTTTTATGTTTATTTTGAAACACATATTATTAATTTTTCCCCAAAAGGCAAGAAAGGAGAATATGAGGCAGTGTGGCAAACACTAGACTTGTGCTAACCACACTTTCTTACAGTGCAGACCAATTCTGGCCAATTCAGTTTACTGAGAGTTATGCTCAAGAAAGTGAGTATAAGATTGAAACCAAATCCTTTTTAGAAAATATTTTAAAATGTTATTTTACCAATGAAAATACAATATTAGATATTTTGCATTTTTCAGTATTACAAATCAATGATAATGTTATATACTTGATAAATTCAACCTGAATTTATTTATGTTTAAATAATGTCTATTCATATATATTTACAATAATTAACATATAAGCTACCTCAAATAAGACAGATGCTTTTGATTTGCATTATTTAGTAAAACAATGTATACCTACTATATACTAAATAGAGCTACTGGTAATATGCTGCTAAGCAATTATATGTCTGTGCTAGCAAATATTTAACAAAGTGTTATACTTGGTAGTGGCATTAGAAAATGTGTTTTATACTAACATTTATTTTAATACAGTGCTTTTCAGCAGTTAGCCACCTACAATATTATTACCTGGGGGGAATAGAATTTTAAATATTTGATTTTATCTTGTCTTCTTTATAGTAGATGAAGCTCTTGCACTCAGTGACTTTTTATAACTTGACTGTGTATTCTTTTGTGGGAGGAGTGTTAAGTATTACTTATCATTGATTCCTCCTCTTTGTCACTGAATATCCAATCCACGCTCTCAGATTATACTACTTATGCATAACATATCTGGTAGAAAATTCTACTGAAATCAATGGGGGTAATTTAATGTATTTAAAATCAGGGTATCATACTTAAGTGAACTTCTTTGACCATTAAAACAGTTGAACCAGACTTTAAGTGCTTTAGTTTATGAAGTGAACTTGCATAGGCCCACAGTAGTTATTCTGAATATGTTTAAAGAGTTGCTTTCTCCAGAGGACAAAGCAGAATGCCATAAAATAACAGTAAAGGGTAAGTTTTATTTGTTTTCAAGAATGGTATATTTCCATTCAAACATCTTTTTGGAATACACAAATCAACAAGCATCACTAAGATACAGTGCAAGAAAATGTTCAAAAGTCTTTTTATGCTGCTGGACTAAACCAAAAGCTTTTTGTTTGCTAGTACTGTAAATATCAGAAGGGGACAATTCAGCCTGGTCTCTAGGGTAACTTCCGGAGATGAAGAGAGAATGGTCTGTCTGGTATTCTTGCCAATCTGCGTATGGAGTATTGGGATATAGATTACTCCCTATGATGTCCAAAGCCAAACAATCTGGAATCTCTTACATTTCAAATATTGAAACAAAGGGCAAAAGATGGTTAGCATAAGGCAATTACAGATAATATCTTACTATCTTTGATTTTTTAAAATAGCAATTTACTTCATAAGCAGCTTTATTTAATACTGAATGGGAATCATTTGCTGGCATGCAGATGTTGCGCTAGCAATACTGTACATACATGGAAATATAAAGTTATATTATGACATGGCCTACAGTATTTATTTTGTGAACACACAAAGAATATTAAAAGAAGTATTAAGAAAGTATTCTTTTTTCTCTCCTTAATATGTAAGTTTAGATGAAAGTTAGTTTAGGCACATTCAAGCATTCTCAGTACTGTATTCAATGAAATACTTTTGAACAGCTGTCCCTAGTGATGTATCACAAAACAGCTTCTGAAATACTGTGAAGTTTCAAAACGTGATGCTTCTGTTTGCGAATTTGCACAGGATATATATGGAACTGACATACTGCCAATATTCACAAGAAGATGTGGTACTTGGGAGTTTTGATAAAAATGTATATCAGACCAAAATCTGAAGACAATGATTAAGAAAATTATTTTAATTTCGGTGTTATTTCAGTTCTGTTAGATCCTAAAGTTACCTATATTGATCCAACAATTCATTTTGCGTTGTAGCAGAAATACACACATATAAACACATTTATTTTAAAAAGCTTAATTGCTTCAGGTGGTAGTTTAAAAGTAAATGCATGGCTTGAGTAAACAAGTAGACAAAATTAAGGAAGGACAAATCTGCCATTTCTTTTTTCTCGCTTTTTAAAATCTCAGTTCCAGTTACTACAGTTATGAAGAAACGTATAAATTTCAGGAGAGTGTTATTCAGAATGCTCAATTTGAATAATATTAACCATATATTCAAATTCAACAGATATTATTGTTAACCACATTGGCTGTTGTAAAAATAGTGGCATCTGAAATAATGTATCTGAACCCCAAATTTTAAGGATAAATAAGAATATTTTCTTTCATTCCCACTAGATTTTATTGAACTCTCAAGCTCTTTCCACTGTTTTTAATGCAAATAATAAAAATAATTTAATGAATGTTTATCAAGAAAAAAATGACCCAATTACAAATCTTATTCATATCTTTGCAGAGTGAACTTTCAGATCCATCCCAAGACCACAAATTCTTATTTCATGGCTTGTTATAGTTACTTCTATAATAGGAACCAGGAGGCAAATTCTTTATATAAATTGATTGATTAGTTATATTTTTTCTTTCTCTTCAAACTACTTTCAGAATGGCTTGCTTTCTGAAGAACATTCAATCAGGAAAAAATATTAGTGACAAGCCACCAACAAACTTACTCAACATAAATTTGATAGGATGGATCCATATATATCATTCAGATCTCATTCCTGACACTTTTTAAGCATCCAAACTTTTCATAATTCTTTCTTACTTGCATCTATAGTTACTATTAGAATAAATTTGACAGCTGTGACTTCTTTGCTTGTCTTGAGGAAAGGTTGATGAGATTGCGTTTGTTTAATGAATGATTGTATTTTACAGAGATAAAAAGTGCCTACATTATTTTGAATTATATTTTCATTAGACTTTCAAAACTGAGAAAGCCACTACTTTTGTCTGTGTGATTCTATAACATCATGTTACATTAAAGTCATATCCTATTGGAGTCATAGGCACTGTAAGAGTAATTCAGTTTTATCTATCAAGAACTTTTAAAATATAAATTATTTCCAAAACAACATGTTTCGGTTACCCTGATATGCAACAAATAGTAAAATATGATTTAGAACTTCTAGCTGTTAAAATTAGTTTCTTTCTCATACATAATTCCTTTGAGATTTAAAATATATGAAACAAGCAGTTTCTACATTTTATTGCCCAGAAGGTCAAGATAAAACAGCACAGGAACTTTATAAGTTTTCTGCAAAACACTGTGCACAAGATTTATAGAAATTTCTTTAGCGTACTCTCTAAACTAAGAGAGAAAACAGTTAATATCATGGTCATTTGCTAGATAAATTTTCAATAATTCATTTTAATAAACCACTCAATACAGACAATTATAGTTTTTCATGATTGATTATAATTATTATGAGTGTATATTTAATTGTATAAGAGCCAAACTATAATTATGAGATAGCAACATCTTTTTAACTTCTGCATCAGTTCATGGACTTCTATGAAAAAGACAAAGATTAGCATCCATGTGATTAGAAATCCCAAAATCTTTTAAAATATTCCAAAAGAAAATAAAAACCAGAGTTTATCTTTAAAAGGGTATGTACAGTAGCTAGCAGTGGATAACATCTTACGAAATCTAAAAACATTTAAAATAAATCTCAGCTATTGATTTCAGTGAGAAAGATAAAAGCAAGTGCTTAATTGTAATTGAAGCTAAAAAGAATTTTAAATCTTTAATTCCTTTTACTATTTATTTATTAGATTTACATCCAACCTTTTTCTCTATGAGCTCAAGGCAATGCATAGAGTACTATTTCCTCCAGATTTTTTTGTTACAATAGCAACCTTGCAAATGCATTTGTCAGTGATTTAGCAAAGAGTAATTGGCGACGGCACCAAATAAGCTGCCATAGTTGAGCTGGATTTTTATGAGGCCTTCCCTTTCTTAGTTCAATGCCCTAATAATATTAATTGATTAATTATGTGCCATTAAGTAGTTTTTGAGTCCTAGCCATCACACAGATATAATTTTTCTATGGCAATCTGTCCCCAATCTGTTCTTTCAGGCTTTCCAACAGTGTACTCATTGCCACTGTGACTGAGTGTGTCCATCTTGCTGCTGGTTATTCACTTCTTCTCTTTCTTTCTACCTTTCCCATTAGTAGAACCTTTCCAGGGAGCTAGGTCTTTGCACAACATGTCTTAATATATATATTCATTCAAAAGGGCTGCCAGTTATTTCAACAGAGTATCATCTCATACTTATTGTCTCCATCTGTATTTCTGCAATGTGTTATATAAAATAAGAGATGTCCTTTGTTTTCTTTTCAATGCATTAAGCAAATTCCCATATTTTATTATCTCCAAGCATTGTATCCGCATAATATATATCTGTGTTTTCTACCTAGAATTTTCCTGCAAGTGCAGGGTTCACTTACTTCAGCTAATCCATTGGTTGCAACAAGAATTGACCGATCAGCTTGTTGGCTCAAGCATGGCATTGTGGGCTGAGAGAGAATGACAAGCCCAAAGTAAGCCAGGCGGCTTTCATACCTAAGATAGAATTCATGTTTTCCTGGTTTCTAGGCTGGTCAATCACTAGGCCGAACTGGCTCTCAGATTGCATCCATATAAATGCATCACAAAGTTTTGTTTTAAAATTATTTTCTATTAGTTTTATTTAGAGTACTGATTATTGGAATCAATCCATATCTAGGATTTACAATCTGAACTCTGTTTCTTATATTAATATCTATAGTACTTCACCATTAGGAATTTTACCACTGATTTTTCGTGTAGCATAGATTACATCTGTTGTTAAGCATTTCTGCGACCTAACAAAGAGTTAAAGTATGATTAATTTGTTCCATTCAAATCAATTGAAGAATCATTCATTAAAAATGTTTGGACTGGATTGAGCTTGTAATAGTGCTATCAAAACAGATCACCAATTTAAAAAAGGAAATCCATTTCATAAACATACCTACCTAACATCCATTAACTTCAGTTAACTAACATGACTTGTTTTGATCCTCCATACAATATATGTGATTTTGTGTTAGGCAGAGGTATCAGAGCTCCATTAGTCTGCCAGAGATTGCACTCACCACTTTCAATCCAGGCAGGATAAGACATTAGAATCAGAGTAGTAATGATAGATACAGAATTTCATATTTTAGTTTTAGTAAATACTTAAAGCCCAAGCAGTTATATTTACAGAAGCAATGTGAGCAGGAAATATAGCAGCTTCAAAGATTCTGCCCTCCCCCTTCCTTTCAGGAGCATTTAGCTCCTTTTCTGCAGTCTCAGAAATCGGAAAAAGAGTAACCTCTAAAGCTGTTTTAGACTGAAGGTCAGAATTCAAAGGACTGGTAACTTAATCCACGAACTCTGTAATCACATTGCTATTGGAAACACACGAAAGAGCACCCGTATTCTAGATATTTTTAAGCAATGTCAATAACTATACAATCTGGACAGGCTTTTTTCAACATCATAAAGCTTAAAGTTTTTTTAGGCTGGTAGTTGCAGGAAACTGAGTTGCTTCATGCTACTGAATTTGACTTTATGCTCTGGAAGTTAAGAAAACCAAATTGTGTATAAGCTAATGAAAATAGCAGCTTTGGTTTGCTTATCTAATACCCAGAAGAGAGACACCTTTTTCAGACAAGATGCAAAAAAAGTTTTAACTATTATTAGGCTTTAGACACTTTCAAAGTACTAACAATTAAACATAGTAACAGTTAAACATGTTTCTCATCTAATGTAAAAACATTTTCAGATATCTGTGTTAACCCCAGTCAGGCAGGCCATATATACTGTATGTAAAATTAAATAAAGTTTCACCATAAGTATAGAAAATGTTGGTTATCTTTTCATCAAACTTAATTCAGGAAGCAGCATATAAATCTCAGTACTCTGTTAAAAACAAATGAGACTTAATTTGAAAATGAGACACCATTGTATGGAATAGTGATTGCCTAAGATTCATGTTACTTTTAGGAAAAGAAGTCACTGAAAAGCAATAATCACATGTTACTATCATGTCAAATCCTTCTGGCTCATTAATAGAACTCCAATTAGCTGAGGGCTAATCAGAAAGTCAATCATTTTTCTTTCTCTGCCAATCAGAGATGAAGTTCCTGACAGAGACTTGGTGGGTGAAAGTATTACCAAAATGGTTTTATATATGTACAATTTTAAATGTAAAACCTATTTAAGAATATTTTAGTAATTTTGTTTTACACAATAGGCTATTATTTATTTGACAAGC